TGTTTGGCAACTTAAGAATCCTCCCCCTCGGGTTGAGATTCTCCTCTCTCAACCCCAAGGGGGTGAAAGATTCTATTAATATTTATATAGATATACATATATTCTATTTGTATTTGTAATAGATATTACATAAACCTTCATATTGGCATTGAATTCATTCTACCTGAACAAGTTTAAAAGTATAACTTCATTAATCCAATTAAAAAATACTTACAATACTATGTCACACACATGTTATCATCCATACAGACAACATTCACAATATTAAATTTTACTTACCAGGCGGATGTGTTGACGGTAAATACGGACCTCAGTGTCAACATCACTGTTCAGATAACTGTATCACCTGTGATGAAGATGAAGGAAACTGTTCAGGTATTAACTTTTCCACCTTCGTGGATAAGACAACATACATCGTGAAATGCCATAGCTCAACTTAATAATTCACATTTAGAATCAAATGTGCTTTTAAATTGCATGACTTGCTGAATGTTCAATCGAATCAAAACATGTTCTTAAAGTACTATTGTTTAATAAAGGAATGGAGATACTACATTATTAAGATTCAAGGTCTAAGGTAAAGTACTTAACCACGGGTAGCTGTGAGCCATGTCAGCCGGACTGGACAGGACAACGTTGTGACAACAAACGTAACACACATTGGAGTTATATGTACTTTAACATCCAATTTCGCCATTGAAAAAATATTTGTAGTATCATTTCCTTCTGGTTTGGTACTTAATAAATATTTCGTTACAACAATAATATGTAACCAATGCTGTCAGTAAGCCAATTTAAAGAGCTGTATCAATACTGATCATCAGGCTGTTTTCTATTGTTCCGTTCTTCATTACGATAACCACTATACTCTGATTAGTAGCTGTTTATGTGTTCGTGAATGCAGTTTTCGACTCGTTATGTGTCCGTATTTCCAACAGCTCATTAATGGTGCCATATTACTATCATGCAACATCACAGAAACCATAACACACTTTTGTTCTTACTGAACCATTCTTTTATTTGTCAGGGAAAGAGGTTAAGCAATTCGAAGGTGAAGGCAGTAATGTGGCTGTATACGCTGGAGCAGTTGGTGGTGGTATTGGTGGTATTGTCCTCGTCGTTTTTATAGTGTATATTGTCAGAAGGTAAAGCAGACGTCAGTCAATTGTTCTTGTTTACAGAATGTATGGTTTACACCAATTATTTCAAGACAATTACTGCGTCACTAGTTCCTTATGTTACGATTTTAAAGTCATATTACATATACAACAAGACCCGAAAAATACAGATATGTTTCGATACCATAGGCCAGAGACAATAGGATTTTACCTAATACACCACGATAATATATTTTATTATGAAACACGTATAACGCATAAAACATTTTGTATTCAGATACATATATATATATATAGTACAGAATATAAAATATTATTTTCATGAATTTTTCTTGTAATGCTTCTACAACACGTGCTTCTTCAATTTTTGTTGTTTAAATTCCACGGATCCCAGGTAAAACATGTTCAAGAAAATACCAAAGCGCTAAAGAAGCCTTGACAGTGCTTTGAAATCCTATGAAAATTGCGTTAATTGTGACTACTTTTAATATTTCATCATCAGAAGATTGGCCTCATCTAGAGAGGATACATCGGTGCCATTCATAAAATATGAAATACAACATTCTTCAAATCGGGAAAACAACCGTTCAGGTATGAAATTTTTCAATAATGTAAGGATGGGTTTCTGTTATTATTCGCTGTATACAACTATTGCAAAAGTACAAAACCCATTTGCTGTTTTATAATTTCAAAGAAATTTCAAGAAACAGGTATCACCAGTGATATCATTTGTACAAAATATGAAATAACCGAAGAATTTGTATGAAAAAAAGCGTACTTTTCAACTTGAACCCACATTTTAACGTAACACATCTCAAATGTTCATGCTTTTTATGCGTTCGTTTTAATAAACTGAGATGTTATATTTAAACCCTCTCCGTATTTGCCTTACAAATGAATGCATGTGCATGTATAAATGTTTTTGGCCATTTTGAAGTGGAAGTGTTCTGTATACTAGTGTATGATCCAGCTACAGCTTACATGAACATTCAGTTAACATGGAACTGAAAGCGTAGCAAAACCTTATACAAAATCACAGTATCATTTTTGTGTGTGTATTTTAATAGTAATTCTTTTAAGGTATAAGAACGGGAAAACGGTAATCAATCTGCCAACGTCATGAAGTCGCTTTCAAATGAAGTATAATCACCGTTT